TAGAACTTGTTCATATTGATATTTGGGGATAATTACCAATTCAATCTGTGCAAGGCTATCAATTTTACATACATTTTCTTGATGATTTTAGTAGGTATACTTGGTTTTATCCATTGAAACATAAGGGAGAAGCCATTAATGCCTTTAACTTTAAGGCTCTTATTGAGAATCAGTTTAGTACAAGAATAAAAAATATTCAAAGTAATATGGGAGGTGAATATAGACCCATTGCTAATGCTGCTGCCACTCATGGTGTTAATGTTAGATATACATGTCCCTATATCTCTGAACAAGATAGACATGTCAAACGTAAGCATTGGCACATTATTGAAATTAGTTTAACATTACTTACACAAGCCAAAATGCCTTTCACGTATTGGGTAGAAGCTTTCCAAACATCAGTATTTCTCATTAATCATATGCCTATTCCTGTGCTTAACAATGATACACCTCTGTTTAAGCTGTTTGGAACAAAGGTAAAGTATAAAAATTTTCAACCATTCGAATGTGCTTGTTATCCATGTCTTCAGCCTTATAATGATCATAAATTTCAATTTCATAGTAAAAAATGTGTGTTTCTTGGATATGCTTCTCAACAAAAAGGATATAAATGTTTTAGTTCCAGTGGGCGTATTTATATATCTCGACATGTTGTATTTGATGGCTCTATTTTTCCATTTGCTACTGGTTTTCTTGATCAACCAGTAAAAGATATTGCTATAGAGACTTCTGTTCCTATTATCATTACTCCTTCTTCTCCCTTATCAATATTTAAATCTCAAGAAAGTACAGAAAATATGGTAGAAAATTTGACAGCTATAGAGTCTGTATCTCCTTGAGTTATTTCACCATCTAATTTTGTTGAGAATCATTTTCTGTCCAATATTTTTCTAGGAAGCTCCATACTAGAGTTAGCTCATGCTTCACCTTGATTAGGAGATCACGTGCCTTTATGTGATATTGTTAATGAGCACCCCACGGTGACTTGGGCTAAGCGTGGGATCTTTAAGCTAAAATATCCATTTATTAGGCTATTAAAATCAGAGGACCCGATTGCTCTTCATAACTTTGCTGAACCTAAATCTGTCTTTGAAGTGCTCATTGTTTCTCACTAGTGTCATGCCATGGCTAAAGAGTTTGAAGCTTTAAAGCAAAATCAAACATGGATTTTAGTTCCTTATTGGAAAACACAGAAGGTGATTGACTTTCGCTAGTTGTTTAAGACTAAATATAAAGTTGATGGCTCAGTATTAAAGTGTAAAGTGTGCCTAGTTGTGAAAGGCTTTCAGCAAATTCTAGGTTGTGCTTATAGCGAGACTTTTAGTCCAATTGTTAAATCAACCATGGTACATGTTGTTCTTACTCTTATTGTGACTTTTAATTGGGAAGTTAGGCAATTGGATATTAATAACACTTTTCTCAATGGATTTTTGGAAGAGGAAGTTCTTATGCATCAGCTTGAGGGATTCATTGATTCCCAAAAACCAAATCATGTGTGCAAGCTCATTAAAGCAATTTATGGCTTGAAATAAGCATCACGTGTGTGGTATGATAGATTGCGACTCACTCTATTGCAATAGGGATTTCAGAATGCTCGAAGTGATACTTCACTATTCATGCTTCGCACAAGTGAATTAATGGTATTTATCTTAATTTATGTGGATGATATCCTGGCAACTAGCAATAATCCTTCTTATTTAAGGTCTTTTATTCAAAAACTCAATAGCTTGTTTTATCTCAAAGACTTGGGCTCTATTCATTATTTTTTCGGCATAGAAGTTTTTTGTGATAGCTCTGGAATGTTTTTAAATCAACCAAAATATGTCCTTGATTTATTAAAATGACATGATATGCTTGATGCTGCCCCTGTGTCTATGCCCATGGTTAGTGGTCGATAGTTTTCCATTTCAGATGGTGAACCATTGATTAATCCTAGTAAGTATCAACGAGTTATTGGTGTTCTTTAATATTTAACAACTACCTAACCTGATATAGCCTTTTTTGTAAATAAGTTGAGTCAGTTTATGTCAAGCTCAACTATTGTTCATTTTCAAGCAGTAAAAAGAATGCTGTGATATCTCAAGGGAACTTATAATCTTAGGTTGCACATTAAACCATTTTCTTAGCTACAATTAAATGCTTTTACAGATGCTCATTAGACTACAAATGTGGATGACAGAAAATTAATGGCAGGTTTTTGTATATATTTAGGAAATACTTTGATTGCATGGGCATCTAGAAAGCAAAGGATTGTGTCAAGATCTAGTACAGAGTCAAGTATAGAGCTTTAGTAGACACCACTACTGAAGTTAATTTGTGTTCATTACTTTATGAATTGGGATGTGCACCTAGATGTCCTCCTACTATTTAGTGTGACAATATTAGTACAAATGCTCTTACGCTAATCTTGTACAACATGCTAGAACTAAGCATATAGAAATAGACTTGCATTTTGTAAGAGATCAAGTTTTGGTTGGCACCCTTCACGTTAGATATATTCCTTCTCATAGTCAAGTTGCAGAATGCTTTACCAAAGCTTTGGCATCCACACAATTTTCAACCTTCAGAAACAAACTTAGGTTGTCAATAACTCCCCCGTGTTTGAGGGAGAGTGTTGGAAAATAATATGGAGTCTTAATTATGTAATTAGTTATTTTGTATATAAGGATGACATTTTTACCTTGTATAGTTTCTCTCTCTATGTGTCATTTATTCATTCATTTCTTTGTAACCATTTTGTACAGACTTGTACTATTTATATCAATGAAATGGTAGGTTAAGGCATCGCATTATTTCAAGCATTTTCCATTCCTTGTTCAGTTCTTTTTCTCATAGAGAACAAAGGGAACCCTTATAAACTATACCTGTTTTACATGCTCTAATAAACCTAATATACCTCTTTTACACACTTCGACAGAAACTGATGATTATGAGACCAAAGGCTTTCTAGGGCAAAGAACATAACAATACGATGAGAAGGAGAAGAATCTCTGACAAATAGAAATAAGCATGGTGAATCAAAAAAAAGAGAGAGCTTACGTTTTGGATGAAGAGTAATTTGATCCTTTTAGCTTTAAATTAATTGCGCAAGAAGTTTTTGGGTCTGCAAAGCATTTTCAAAATTTATTGACCTTAAGAGCAATTATCTTGTTTCTTTGAAGGCCTTATATGTGATTCTCTAAAAATAATCTTGCACTATCTCCATCCCAAATTATCCAAAATTTTAAGACACTTGGATAAAATCTTACATATCAATAAATATTATTAAATACACTAACTAACATTATTTTTTCAAAACAAAAATATATACCTCTAAAAACACCCTTCATTTAATATATTTAAAAGAGAGAGAAAAAATTAAAGAGGAAGAGAAACGGTAATATAGAAAAAAAAAGCTTATTTAATAGAACATTGATCTTCTCAAATTGTTTTATGTTTTGGAATGTCGAATCTCTTTCAAAAATATTTTATAATTTGAAATAGAGAGAACTTTTTTGTTAAAATATAAATGAATTGCCCCCACTATCCTCCTTAGATCCACTATTCATTTGATGTGACACCCATGTTCTCTTCTTTTTCTTCTTCTTTTGAATACAAGACCTTGGAAAACCCATGCAAAATATATGAATAGAAATCAAATCATGTCAGATTCTACAAGGGATCTACATTCTAAAGGTGGATGATTAAAAAAAATAAGATTTAAATTTTCTTGAGAGGCCTGGTAAGCAAGCAAGTCAGTGCATTTGTTCACTTCCTTGAATGTGCGATTGAAGGTAATGATCCAATCTTTCATAACAAAATCTCTAACTTTGTTGAACATTTTCTGAGAGTGGATGATTGTCAAAGAGATTATGCTGAATAAGTGAGAGAGCCTCTATTGAATCAGAATGTATGTTGATTTTAGTGAATCACGCATTCTAACAAAGGTAAAGTCCTTTTAAAATGCTCAAGAGTTCTGCCGTGGTGCTAGATTGAATAGCCAAGGTATTTGGAAAATTCATTAATCCAATTATCTTTGTCATCTCGTAAGATTCCACCTCAGGTTGCAGCTCCATATTGGAGCCCCTTTTCTCTTCTTTTGACGTAAAGCAAAATCCATTTTTAATAATACTCTTGCAGCTTGCGCATATCTATTTGTTTTGAACTAGAATTTAGGTGAAAATATCTAATTCATGTAAGCCACACACAATATGTGTGTGTTGGGCATGTGTGATATATATAATATTCATTTCTTGAATTGTTTCTTAGTCAAGTCTAAAAGTTCAACCCTTCATGCCAATCTTCCATGCCCATGCGTTCCTACATGTAGGAATATGGAGTCCAAAAAACATACTTCCGGTGGTGATAAAACTTTCCTTCTACCACACGTGAATCCTGAATTACAGTGATATTATAAATTTTACAGTGGATATATAATATTTTCTGAAAAAGAAAAAGGGAGAGAACAGCAGAGGGAAGGGTCTGAACATACAATTCAAAAAATGCAACAGCCAGTTCCTATATATATATATATATATCTAGATTGTTAATAGTTACATAATTTTCAATATATATATATAACTGCTCCAACAATTACTTTCTTACAACCACTCTAAATTATTTAAATAAAAAATTTATCTAACTTTAATTAATTATTATTGGATCTAGACTTTTGCTTACATGGTCTAATTCATCAAGGATGGACCATAATATAACAATTAATACAAGTCGACAACGACACATCGTTTATGTCTTTATTTAATCAAGTACGTAGTGAGAATTAATCTGGTTGCCAAATGAATCAGTTTAAAGGGAAAAAAAATTTTTATACTTAACTTTATATATTTAAGATATTTGTTTTCAATTAACTTTTTTGGTCACTGCTAAAAGTTGCAGCCAAATGTCTTTTTTTTTTTTTAGTAGTGAAGGCATGTAAAAGCAAATGAGTTAAGACCTTATTTATGCGCCTTAACCTAACTAAAAGATAAAAATAAATGAGGATGAAAGATAACAATAATTCAAATATTACGATAATTAAAACAAAATATTCTTAATTAAGATGACAATTAAAATATCTTTAATCATTCAAAACTTCTCATCAAATCTTCAATATCTTCCATTATTCTTCTCTTTCCTTTTTCTTTCCATTATATGCTCAATCTCATTAGTCATGATCCCATCAACCTGTTCCAGGTTGACTTTCTCCTCCTTGGTCTATTCCTCCAATAGCAAGTAATGTGGAACCACTGCCTGTTCTTTGGCTGAGCTGAGCAACTAGCTCGTTTGAAGCACCTTCGTTTGTTCCTATATTGGCCATACAAATAACCAAATAACCAAATACAGAAGACATAACACACATGTAAGACAGAATGAATATTGCTCTTGAAATATATAAACATTTTGCTCTTGAAATACTTAAGATCCACCTGTACTAGGTTCACTTTTGCCACCATCATCTTTTCCTCCAACATCATTCGTCTTGTTGGACCTAACTGCATTTTGTTGGCTTGCAATTATTTTCTGTTTTTCTGTATCCGCGTCGCCTTTGACATTAGACTCTCTTTCATTTGATCTGTTTCAAAAACTCCAATACTTTTATTAATTTTGCGTCACAAATTTAAAGCAAATATTTGGCATATTCTAGTTTAATGAGGTTTTACTGGAATCAGCAATGGATTGAGAATGAATTTCCAATTGAATCCAAATCTGGAAGTTTGCCTCCGCATTATTAATGTGGAATATTTCATCGCAATAATTCCTTCCATTATGAGACGAATTTAATGATGATTGAAATTTTCCATTTCATGGCGGTCTCCCATGCTATAAAAAATAGTAGTTAGTTGAAGGAAAAACTCACTCCACATCAAATATCCCTTCTTCAGTATTCGTTCTTCTCTCCTTTTTCTCTCTGCAGTGCATGTTATGCATCAAAGAAAGGACCCTAATATTCCTGTCTCATCATGGGTATGTAGTTGGATAGCCTCTACAATACCCGGATTTGATAAAACCTTATACGATTCTTTTTAGATCATTATTGGGTTATAATATCTTTCACATACCTTCTCATTGGTCATCAGTTATATATTCAAAGGCATAAAAATTTCGTAATGGCAAATGAGAACCAAATAAGAAACGGAAAATCAACCATCAAAAGCAACTGATGTCCAGCTAGTAATTTACTACAAACAATGAAAAGAAGCAGAAAAGGATCGCTGAAACAAAGTGAAAGAAAAGAAAAGAAAGTTAGTTAGGAAAAGAAAGCTGACTTGTCGGATGAAAGCTTTGCTTCCATGACTTCTCTATGATTAGAAACTCAGTGAAAATGAAGATGGTTGAATGTGAACTGAAGTTGAGATGTGATAAGGAGCAATATAGGAGAATCTATTTATATTTGAAGCTATTAGATGGATTCAAGGACATGCCTTTAATATTATTGCCCTTTCTTTTTCAAGTTTCTTTCATTAATTTGGTCGCTGTTCAAAGTTCAACGATTAATGTTCACACATGTTGAATTGGGCAACCACAAATAAAGAAAGAGACAAGTCAATATCAGATGTCATTAGTTGTTTAAAAGGTCAGAGATAGTAAGTCATGTGTATCACACACACACACACACGCACGCACGCACGCACACAGGGGAAAACTAATGGACTGTTTGACAAGTGAAGTCCAAATTAAAGTTCCGTCCCTAATGTTCAAAGCTTCGCAAACACTGGAATGTCATTTATATATATTTGGATCATATATGTATTGTGTAATTTTATCATATTTAAATATCGTTAAGGATTATCTAGACCGGGTTAAATTTCAAGGGTTCAGGCATTCTAATTTAGTACGTACTTAAAAATATCTCAACATTATAAAATGCGTTTCTATTAATTGAATTTTATATTATAAAATTGAAATCATTAATTTAACTTATAATTTAGTGGCCTACAACAAAGAACTAAAAATCGAATTGACCATACAGATAATAGTTTCTAGTTGTGATTGAACTATAATCAAGCTATTCATGATTAAAATAATATAATATAACTAAAATATACAAAATATTCATATATAACTTTGTAAAGAATAATATTTAAATACAAGTGCATTAATCCACAAACAAAATGGAGTATATAATAAAATACAATTAATTTCACTGTTCATAGAGCAGCGATATTAATAAATATTGTGGGGCCATCCTTCTTTCTTTTTTTAAAAAAATTCAATAGTTTTTCTTTCAACCAGTTTTTTACAATAATTTTTGTTATACTTACCTTTTCTTATTTTGTTAAAAAAACAAAGCATATTTTTTAATGTGACTGTTAACATTTTAAAATTAGATTTTTTGAATAAAATTTTAAAATAAAAATTTTGCAAAAGAGTAACAAGGTTTTTTTAATTGCATACATGCGTCCTCTAATTAGAAAAAAATAATATTCAAGAGATATAGAGAGACATAGTTAGATACTAAATGTTAATATTTATTCTAAAAAGAATTCAAACCTTAGTTTGGGAGCCAATTTACTTTTTTTACCCATAATTTTATTGTCACTGTTATTAAAAGTTTTTTTTTATTATAGCCATACTAAATTATTATTTTGACAGTATCACCTTTTTTTCATGATATCTGGAGTAAAAAATGAATACTTTTTTAACTATTTGCAATGGCAATATGTAAAATTATTGTTAACTTAAAAAAAAAGGCAGGTAGATAAATATGTCTTTAAAATTAAATGTTGTTATGCATATCAATAATAGAAGTCTGTAATTAATTATCAAGTATTATTGAATTAGTTAAAATGTATATTGAAAATGATCTAAATTTAAAGGGGTGAAAAATCTTATGACTAGAGGGATCAAAATCCAAAAATATATATCACTTTCATATAATTTTCCCAACATGAGGGGTGCATGTGCATTCCTCAAATATGTAGCTTTACCATTATACCTAAATAGTACCTCTAATCCCATGATAGAAGAAATAAGTGAATTTCTTTACCTGTGTTTCCTAGTTTTTGTGTAAACTACATATATTTCAACAAAACAAAGTTACTATAGCAGAAATCTGACAGTGTATAATTTTTCGTTTTCAGTAATTTTTAATTCAAAATGATTTCATTTCTTGATTTTTGTTTTTTTATAATAGAACAGTTTTAGAAATAATTAAATTCAAATAAACACCTGTTCAAACGAATTGTTTACTTAAAAAAAAAAAACCAAACTTGCCCTGAAAGTCTTGTACCCCTATATGCTCACACCTCATTTTGTTTTTCATTTTGAAGTTAAATTTCGTTGGCGATTCTAGACCAGAATTTCAAGGATTCAAGTTTGAGCCTTTTTGCAGTGGGTGCAAGGTCAATGTTCACACTTCACACCAGCAAGTTGAATTAGACCACTTGTTCTTGAATTTAATTTAATCCCACTAATACGCGGCTAAACACTAATACATATTGAGAGAAAATATGTAGTTTACATTTACCAAAAAAAAAAATGCAGTTTACCACTGTCGGTCATTGCTTACACATGATCCTTGAATTTTTAATGCGAATGATCTGGATCCCCATGTCACATGATCCTTTTTTAATTGAAAAATAAAAAATTACCATATTACAACCAAAACTACTAAAAGAAATCAAGCAATTAGCATGCCATTATGTAGACTCATGAATTTACAAAAATTTTAGGGCAAATAATAATGGGTTAAAGGCCAATTTCATCTTTAAACTATAAGTCAAGGAGCACCATATGTGGGGCTTAAAATTCATTTTTGATACAATATTTCCCTCCAATTTTTGAAAATGGTGCAATTTTATCTTTACTATTAATAAAAATTAACTTTGACTGTCAGTTGATAATAAAATAATAGAAAAGTACCAAGAAAATTTTAGACAAGGACAAAAAATTAGAGAAAAGGACCAAATAAATTTTCTTGGTCCTTTTATGTCATTTTTTAGCTAACTAATAGTCAAAGTTAATATTATATTTGTTAATAGTACTGGTTATATTGCATTATTTTTAAAAGTTCAAAAAAGAATATTACACAAAAAAATAAATTTAGGATCGCATACATTTCGTTGAATATGTAGTTTACATTTACCAAAAAAAAAAAAGCAGTTTACCACTGTCGGTCATTGCTTACACATGATCCTTGAATTTTTAATGCCAATGATCTGGATCCCCATGTCACCTGATTCTTTTTTAATTGAAAAATAAAAAATTACCCATATTACAGCCAAAACTACTAAAAGAAATCAAGCAATTAGCATGCCATTATGTAGACTCATGAATTTACAAAACTTTTAGGGCAAATAATAATGGGTTAAAGGGCAATTTCATCTTTAAACTACAAGTCAAGAGCACCATAGGCTTTAAATTCATTTTTGATACAATATTTTCCTTCAACTTTTGAAAACGGTGCAATTTTGCTCTTATTTTTAACAAAGATTAATTTTGACTGTTAGTTGATAATAAAATAATAGAAAAGTACTAAGAAAATTTTAGACAAGGACAAAAAATTAGAGAAAAGTACCAAATAAATTTTCTTGGTCCTTTTATGTCATTTTTTAGCTAACTAATAGTTAAAGTTAATATCATATTTGTTAACAGTAGTTGTTATATTGTGTTATTTTCAAAAGTTCAAAGAGGAATGTTACACAAAAAAATAAGTTTAGGATCACATACATTTCAAGACTTATAATTTAAAGGTAAAATTGTCCTATAATCTAATAATAATTTTGCTTTGTTGGTCTGGCTAGAATTCACTATACGTTCTCATGATATCTTTTTCTATACGTGAAATGAAATTTGCCGAGGTGAGAATAATATTTGACATTCATGTAGAGAATGGATTCATTAACCTCGTCATTATGATTGCATTTTCTCTATACTTCATGTTCATTTCCTTTCACTGGTTCTTTTTTTTTTTTTGCTTTTATTTTTTTTATATACAACATTAATTGGTCCAACGTTTTTGATCGTTAGTTTTGCTCCCTGCAAATTCTACAGTTCCATGCTAATGTTCACACCAGTTGAATTGGCAACCAAAAATAAACAAAGAATATTTAAGCTGTCGTTAATTGTTTGAACAATGTGTATATATATACTGTCATTAATTACTTGGACTTTTTTCAGTAATCAGTCAAATCTAAATGTCCAACCCCCCATGGTCAAATGTAATCGCAGACAATTCTAATCCATTTACTATAATATAAATGTTATATATGGTTGAGTTGAATTGTGATAAATAAAATAAAATTTTAGCACAAGGTGATTATCAGGATTTAATATTAAAGATTCAACCTTATTAATTATTTCCATGTCTTCCACTGTTCCAGTTTTCAGTAGTTGCGTGCATTTGCTTTCATACCAGTCGACAAAGACAGATCTACATATCTATGTCTTTATTTAATATACGTGTGTTTGCAGAATCCTGGTTGCCCATGAATTCGTCTAATATTAGAATATTGTCCGTACATATCAACCAGTTTAAAATTTTAACTATGGTTGAGTCGTTTCTACTATGATAACATTTAATTATAATTGGTTATCTTTTAATGATCATGGTAGAGTGGGTTAAAATGTGATGAAATTAGGAGACATTACAGAACTCTCTTCAAAGATGGATACGCGTTCCGGCGTTCGGATGACGAGCACCGCGTGCCCATCATTTCCATGGGTCATCTTGACTGTTCATTTTATCTCAAAATGATATTTGCCATTTATTTTGAAGTGACTTTTAAATGTTTTAATATTATATTTGTGAAAATAAAAGTTTATAAAATTATATTTAATATTGAATCTTGACTATCACCACGGCAGTTATCACACATGATGAAATTTGAACAGTGCAGATTCAAGCTTTTTATTTGTTTTATAATTATCAAAATAAAAATATATTTTTTTCGATAAATATGTTAATTATCGATCTGGTTAGTCCAATTGAAATATATTTTTTGAATTTTTAAAAATTAATTATCCAGATGTATTCTGACAGTATAGATAGAATATAAACAATTTAATTTAATATTAAAATTTTTATAAATTTATCAAAATTCCATATTTAATATTGAAATTTTTATAATTTTTTAAATTTTTTAACAAATATAATATTAAAAATATTTAAAAATTAATTTAAATATTTGCAAAACCAGTTCAATCTTGGTTGTTTTTGTTGAATTTTGTGTTGATCATTTCTTTGTTGGTGTTAACTGTCCTTAAATTTGATATGGTCAAGCAATTTTCTCATGTTTAATCTACTGCTGTGGGAGGATTTGCTCTATGTTCAGAACTAACATTCAGTTTTGCTTTTATATGTTTAGAAAAACATAAGTTCGTACAGTCAGGCCTTTTAACAAGCAAACAGAATTTTATCCTTGGCAATACTTTTGTTGATTGTCATACTTTAAAAAATCGGAAACAATTCTTGTGCATTTCAAGGGTTCTAATAAATGAGAAAAATTGTTAATAGCCATAGTAGCCATAGTGTAGCTTGCGATAAACTTTTACAATATATAGTGATATTGATACATTGAGTTCTTCTGCCTGTGTTTCTTGAGAGGCAACCTTGGATTAACCATCTTACAAGTAAAACGCACCTACGGCCCTCCCCACAAAAACCCAACAAAAAAAAAACCCTTGTTATTCAGGTAGGCGTGCAACTGTTATGAACAATCCAGTCTCCCTTTCTTGTGCGTTTATTTTGCATCTATCAAACTGCTTCTTAATACAGTTTTCCCCACCTTGATGTTAAGATTTTTTTTTTTTTAATTTGTCAAAAGATTTGCCCCCAAAATTTTCTGCCCATTTGATTATTTTCTTTCTTGTTTATCTGTCAATGTGGTACAGGGGATCTTTTTAGCCTTTTTTGCATGTTCAATATACTCCCTCCATTACACTTGCCACTAGATTTTCCAAGAGGTGGTGGTGGTGATCATGGTGCAGCATTTTTGCATTGGAGTCCAGTTTAGTAGGCAAATACTCTGTTGTATTATAGGTAAAATCCTGATCCGGTTGAGCATAGTATTGCTCACTCATTGACAGAAGCTACTTAATGCATTCCCTTGGTTGTTCAATCATTCTGTCTCTGAGGGTTGCCATGTCTCGTTTCTTGTTGATGTGTAAAATCCAATCTGATAATATGACCATTAATTTATTGGCATTATTTTTCTTACTGTTGTAGAGAAGCCTCTCCGGTTTGTTAGTGTTCACTGTCCTTGTGTCTGGTTTGGTCAGGTGATTTTCTCATGTGTAATCTACTTTAGGTGGATTTTCTCTAGGTTCATAAACATTTTTTTTTTCAATGTTTACTTTCCTTGGTTTTGCGGTTTAGGTAAAACTTGAATTCATATAGCCAAATCCTGTAGCAGGCAAATCATATTTTTTCTCGAGCAAGGTTTTTAGTCATTATTTTTACTCTAAATTTTCCTTGGTCTGTGAATGTGCGTTTGGAGGCACCATTTGATGTTGCCTGTTGCATGTGTTGCAATATTTTTCCCTACTTTTCTTAGCCATTACTTGTCAATTCAGGTTGTTTTGTCTGTTTTGCGTCTATCAAACTCAAGAGTTCTAAACGTACTCCTCTAGAATTATAGGGCTCCTTTTAGAAGGATTTTTTTCATTACTTTTTTCCAATATTACCCCTAATTAAACTCATTAACCTTAAGAGAGAATGTAATGCCAATTTGGAAAGGGAGAATGATAGAGATGTCTCAAGGGATGCCAAATTCCATAAATTTGTAAGTTCAGCTTTCAATTTTGTAATTTCATTGTGATGAATTTGTAACTTATTTTTCAATTTTAATATGGTTGAAGAATAAATAAAATTATTTTGCCTGTTAAAAATTGGAACATAATTTGCAAATCTATCACAATGAAGTTGCAAAATTAAAAACTGAATTTTCTAATTTCTGGAATTTGATAGTTGGAATCTAAGTTGAATTAATTAGTCTCAAGCATTCTCCCGTTTGGAAATGTTTCAGTATGGATAAAATAAGAAATTCATGTTATTTTCACACAGTTAATGACTTAATTCTCTCATTGGTTCTAGTGGGTAGTTAATGACTTAATTATCTCTCATTGGTTTTGGTGAAGTAGTTAGAAGTAATTTTACCTGCGTGTTGATGTTAAATATATTTGTGGGATAATGCGTTTTTTTTTTGTCCAAAATTCTTTACAGTTGACTATTTCTTGTTTTGTCATTCAATGTAGTTCAGGGGATCTTGTAATCCTTTATTGCATGTTCATTGGACTTCCTGGATTACACTTGCTTGTTGACGTTCCAAGAGGTGGTAATGATCATGGTGAGACATTTTTACGTCAGTCAAAGTATAGTTTGGATGAGACATCACAGGAAACTTGCATCTGCTGTGTGTTCTTGTGCATACAATGTAAGATCTATGATGGGAAAGAAGGGAGACCAAGACAAAGATGGCCAGAGGATTGTTTAAAGAATATATTTTGGTTGTGGTGGCAACCCTAAGATTGAGAACTCAATCCAATATGAATTGGGTTCTTGATTTTTCATTTGGACTTGTTGGGGATGTAATGTGTTTAAAAAGAAAAGTTTGATCATGTTAGTCTTGGAAAACTAACAATTGATGGAACTTGAAAGTCTTGAATTTTTAGCATTGGGCGCTTTAGTCCATAATGATTTCTAGTTGCAGTTTCTTCTTTGAAGCATTCCTTGCTATCCATGCTTTGCATTAGTCCATATTGTTGTATGTGTGTCAAAAGTGTGTGTGTGTCAAAGTCCCACATTGATTAAAAGAAAGACTCTCCTAGTGTATATATACTAAGGAAAGAAGTGGGCTAATAAAATGGGCTTGGAAGAGAAGTGGCCTCGCGCATATGAGACAGGCCAACTCAGGGCAATCGCAGTTGAAATCAGCCGATTCGCCCCCCTGCGCGCGAGTTCAAGAGGTAGTGGGTTTCTTTTACCGGATTATTTTTACAAATAAATAATTATTTTGGCTTGCCAGAGAAACTCAAATTTTGGCTATCTGGAGTTTGAAGTCAAACCAAGAATGTTTTTTTATCATTAAACAAATTAATTTTTCTAAACGTTTGTCTTCCCAACGTTTCCAGACAGGAGGTTGAATGCATTTTACAAACATTTGTGTAACCCTAACGTTTCCAAACAAGCTTTTAAACAATTTTTATGAGACTGTAACCGAGCTTTTAAACCGGTGGTAACCCCCTAACGTTCATGTCCACCTTCGGGCTATATATAGCCGTGGGTGCAGATAGAGCGATACACAAGCCTCTTGAGTTCTCGCGGTTCTCTCTTCCTCCCTCTGTAAATCTGTCTGTGTTCGTCTGTGCTTACATTTGGTCTCCATTATTCTGTTCCCACGTTCCACCGAGGAGGTGCTTGTTTAATCCTGGGGAACTGCCGGCCGTCAGACATTGTGCCGGAATAGTTCTTAAGGACAGTGTCCTTTCGGGCACGACTCAAGCTAACAAACAGGTGTCGCTATACACGTCTGCCGCCAGTGTAGCCAACAATCTTAAGAACTATTCAACCCAATGGCGACCAACAGTACTGAGAATGTCGCTCCCGAAGGTGTGCCGAGTGGTTCGGCCGAAGGTCAGTACGTCCTTGCCGCTGTTGCCGTCCCTTTACCGAGGCTGTTTCCAGACATATCGAAGATAGAAGTCTTTGATGGCTGGAACTTCAAACGCTGGCAAGAACGTGTCTTCACCGTCCTTGACATGCATGGTGTGGTTGCTGCTCTTGCTCAATCCGAGCCTCTTGCTGATACTGATCAAGCCCAGCGAGTTGCATGGACTCATGCAAACAAGGTATGCCGACACACTATCATTAGCACTTTATCTAATGATTTATTCGATGTCTACTGTGTCTACAAGGAAGCTTGTAAGATATGGGAGTCCCTAGTTACAAAGTACACTGCTGAGGATGCCGGCAAATAAAAGTTCGTTGTGGGCAACTACTACAAATGGGAGATGACCGAGAACAAGGATGTGAAGGAGCAAATCAACGAATATTATAAGCTGCTGGAGGAGCTTTGTGCTGAAAACATCAACCTTCCAGAAGAGTTCGTTGCTGGGATACTGATTGAGAAGCTGCCAGAATCATGGTCTGATTACAAACAGCAGCTGAAACACAAACAGAAGAAGCTATCCTTGACTGACTTGATCACCCACATCATCATCGAAGACACCAACCGCAAGTCAATACGTGTAGCTTGAACCAGAGAATTGACATCCAAAGCCAACTTAGTGGAGACAAAGCCTCACAGCAAGAGGTGTGATTCTAAAACTAAAGACAAGAGGAATAGAAAATCTGATTACAAACCTAATGCTTCTAACCCCTCTTTTAAAAAGAAAGGAGACTGTTTTGTCTGCGGCAAACCAGGACACTATGTAGCACAGTGTAGGAAGAGAGCAACCCGTGATAAGCCTCGAAAGCCAAATGTAAATTTGGTACAATGAGATGGTGACAGTGATGATGATATCATTACTGTAGTGGTGTCACAAGCTCTCTTGATTTCTAATGTGAAGAAATGGGTGGTAGACTCCGGGGCTACCAGGCACATATGTGCTAGCCAAGAGATGTTTACCACCTATAATTCTGTAAAGGAAGGGGAAGACCATGTTTACCTTGCTGATTCCTGAACTGCTAAGGTTCAAGGAAAAGGGAAAGTGGTCTTAAAGCTCACATCAGGAAAGACTCTGGCTCTGAATGATGTTCTGCATGTGCCTGAAGTTAGAGCTAACTTAGTGTCAGTTGCTCTTTTAGGGAAAGCTGGGGTTAAAGTGTCATTTGAATCTGATAAGATTGTAATGACAAAAAATAATGTGTTTGTAGGCAAAGGGTATTGTAATCAGGGATTGTTTGTTTTGAATGTTGATGAAATGAATAAGATTGAATCTTTTGAGTATATGCCTGTTTATATGGTTGATTCCTTTGACCTGTGGCATGCTAGACTAGGTCATGCTAGTAAAGGTTATATAAATAGGATGCGACAACTTGGATTACTTTCTGAAATTAAAAACAATGTTTTTGAAAAATGTGAAGTATGTGCAGAAACTAAACAAAGTAAAAAACCTCATTTTTCTAGTCAAAGAGAATCTGAATTACTATCTTTAATTCACACAGATTTAGGTGACTTAAAACAAACCATGACTAGAGGTAGTAAAAAATATTATATCACTTTTATTGATGATTTTTCAAGATATACTAAAGTATACTTGTTAAGAAACAAAGATGAGGCTTTTGAAAAATTTTTGTTATATAAAGCAGAGGTTGAGAATCAGTTAAACAAAAGAATTAAAAGGGTTAGATCGGATAGAGGAGGAGAATATATTTTGTTAAATGATTTTTGTGAAAAAGAAGGAATTATACATGAGATAACACCTCCTTATTCTCCCGAGTCTAATGGTGTTGCAGAAAGGAAAAATAGAACATTAAAAGAAATGATGAATGCTTTACTTGTGAGTTCTTCTGCCCCTGATAACTTGTGGGGAGAAGCTATTTTGTCTGTATGTTTTTTACAAAATAGGATACCACATAAGAAATCAAAGAAAACACCTTATGAGTTATGAAAAGGGTTTACCCCAAACTTAAAATATTTGAAAGTGTGGGGGTGTCTTGCAAAAGTTTTATTGCCTGATCCTAAAAAGAGGAAAATTGGCTCTAAAACTTCTGATTGTATGTTTATTGGATATGCTGAACAAAGTGCTGCGTATCGTTTTTTAGTTTAAAAAGTGATGTTTTAGACCAAAACACAATTGTTGAGACTAAGGATGCTGAATTTTTTGAACATATTTTTCCCTTGAAAATTAAGCATGTTTCTAAACCTATTGAGAATTCAGAGTTTGAACAAAATTTAAATGAGGATTTGGTTTTAAGGAGAAGTAAAAGACAAAGGAAAGAAACAAGTTTTGGAGATGATTTTTACACTTTTTTAGTACAAGATGAACTGTTAAATTTTTATGAAGCTATTTCTTCTCCTGATGCCAAATTTTGGAAAGAAGCAATTGAAATTGAAATTGATTCTTTAAGGAAAAATAAAACTTGGGTTTTATCAAATTTGCCCCAAGGAGCTAAGGCTATTGGGTGTAAATGCATTTTTAAGAAAAAATATTTTCCAGACGATTCAATTGATAAGTATAAAGCAATGCTTGTGGCCAAAGATTTTACTCAAAAAGAAAATATAAATTATTTTAACACATTTTCTCTGTGACTAGAATCTCTTCTATAAGAGTTCTTATTGCTTTGGCTTCAATTTACAAACTTTTTGTTCACCAAATGGATGTTAAAACTGCTTTTTTAAATGGTGATTTGGAAGAAGAAATATACATGGTACAACCTGAAGGATGTGTGATTCCTAGGCAAGAAAATAAAGTTTGTAAACTTGTGAAGTCTTTATATGGCTTAAAACAAGCACCTAAGCAATGGCATGAGAAACTTCATCAAGTTTTGACAACTGGTAGATTTTCTACTATTAAAGCAGAAAGATGTGTTTATACAAAGTTTATAAATAATGATTGTGTGATTATATGCTTATATATGGATGATATGCTAATTTTTGGCTCTAGTATGTGTATTGTTAATGAAATAAAAAATTTTCTTTCTTCAAATTTTGACATGAAAGATATGGGTGAAGCCAAGGTAATCTTGGGTGTAAAAATCATAAGGAATGAAAATGGAATCTTGCTTTCCCAAGAACATTATGTTGAGAAAATCCTTAGAAAGTTTGGACATCTTGAAGATGCTCCTTTGAGTACTCCTTATGATTCGAGTGTGCAATTAAAAAAGCACAAGGGTAACCCAGTTGCTCAATCTGAGCATGCACAGATTATTGGGAGTCTGTTGCATTTGATAAACTTTACTAGGCCTGATATAGCTTATGCTGTAGGCAGATTGAGTAGATATACTCACTGTCTAGGCAGTAAACACTAGGAGGCTCTGGTGAGAGTCTTGAGATATTTGAGAGGTACCATGAATTATGGTATATTGTATAGTGGATTTCCTGCTGTATTGGAAGGATACAGTGATGCTAACTGGATTTCGGATTCAGAAGAGACAAAATCCACTAGTGGTTATATATTCACTCTTGGTGGTGGTGCAATAACCTGGAAGTCTGCAAAACAGACGATCAACACAAAATCCTCAAGGGATTCTGAGTTCATTGCAATGGAGCTGGCTGGGACTGAAGCTGAGTGGTTGAAAAACTTCTTAGCAAGTATTCCAATAGGTAAAAAGCCCACACCATCAGCATCTTTACATTGTGATAGCTAGTCTGCAATAGCAACGGCTAAAAATAAGACCTTCAATGGCAAAAGTAGACATATTCGATTGAGACATAATATTATAAGGCAGCTGCTTAAAGATGGGGTCATCTCAATCGATTATGTGAGATCAGAGTTAAATCTGGCGGATCCGTTAACTAAACCCCTAGGGAAGAAATTTATTATTGAAACGTCGAGGGGAATGGGACTTAAGCCTGTTTGAAATTAATGGTGATGGCAACCCAACCTTTGTGATTGGAGATCCCATGAAGAAGGTTCAATGGGTAAGAACAAGTCACTTATTAGTTCTGCTAGCACTGAATTTTGTCCCTTCCTATGGCTTGAGAAAGTGCTAGAATGCATTGAACGGAGGCTGAGCGATAGCTCTTAATATTTTCATAGTCCTTACGGATGGT